CACACACATTTCCTGTGAAAATAACACCACATATCCCCCTGCGGCCAATGTGAAGTCATTCTATGAGAATTATGTCACTCCAGACCAAAAGTAAATGCTTATATGAGTTAAAGAAAATTGCTACAATACATAAAGTTGAAAAGTGAAATGGCAAAAATATAATATTGTGATACTTCAAGAAGTTATCATGATACACAATATGCCATGATATTTATGTCTTCTTACATCTGATAAGTTGGAATAAACAAAAAAGAACCACTAGTGCCACTGGTATCAAAAACTGTAAATCCAATGATTTGTATTAAACATTTCACAATTCTAATGGATCAATATTAATTGTGCTCTTTTTGTAATGAAACATGCAGTTAGTCAGAAAAGCATGACATGCCCAGAAAAGCATATTGTGATGTAATGTGACATGATTTATCACAATAACAATAAGTATCATGATATTGTCCAGCCCTATGATGGGCTACTGTAAATATCAATTTACCATTATGGCTGGAAACCTAAAGAGTAGCACTGAGCAAAAACAATGAAGCAAAAAACAGATATGAGTTAAGGCTCCTAATACATGCTCATAACACATTCTTTATTTTTAAAGCACTTTTTATTTGAGTTAGAAAGTCACAAAATGCTTTACACTGGAATATAGGTAAAACATTGGAAAGATAAAATACTACAGTTTAAATTAAATAACAGCACAATTACAAATTCTAGAAGAAAAAAGACCTAAAAAACACTAGGTGTCTGCTGGTTGAAAGCAAAAAAAAAAGTTTTTAATCAAGATTTAAAAATACCTAGCATTCCTAATGATCAGAAACACTTTTTCTGTAAGCTATAAACCATGACAAATTCCTCAGCTGTGACTGATATTGATCCCTATTTAGGCATTGTTGTGTGGTCATCATCCACAGTGCACTTGTAATTTCTGTGAGTAGATCACTTAATCCGATGAAAATATACTTTAGCAGCGGCTGCTGAGCCACTAAAAATGAAATTATCATACGCTCTCGACTCAGTGAAAAACAGCAGCACTGTACAGTTAAAAACAAAGACCCTAATGTATTTACTGCACATCATATAGCAAAAAACACAGAGTGGTAACTGCAGGTTACTGGAATCATGAACCAAGAATTTCATGAGTTATTTTTAAGTTTGTATTTTTTTCTGATCCTCATCCTCTGAACTTTTAAAAGTGGTTATCAAATATCCACAGCTATTAAAAACGAAACTTCAGCCTCTCAAGCAACTATTCCTGGTTTGTTTATGTGACTAGTGAAAGCTGACGCAGGTTGGCGATGTGGTTTTACCTCTATGTAGTAAACTAAATAGTTCTGCCCTATATAGCGCAATACTAACGAGAGAGAAGGGCTCCATTTTGGTCATAGTCCTTGTGTGTGAAAACCTAAAAAAGCCAAACAATAAACAATTCTGATCCTTAGTCTGATCTGACCACCAGGCTGTTCATAGCTGAAGTATTTTGGGCCTGTGGGATGTCTCTGCTGAATGACTTGGGCCTCGGAGAGGCTGTGTAAAAGGAAACTCCTCTGAATGCATGTGCTAATTGCAAATGACCAACACGTTCACTGAGAGTTCCCCTTCAGTGAGCTGGCACTAGGAGCCCTCTGGCACAACAACACACACATAGCAGCACATACTGCTGTTCAGTGGCCCTAATTGGCATTATATATGACATATATAGTAATGATCCTTTTCTAGAATCTGGTTTATACTTACAATACAGTGTAAGTTTATCTTTGATGTAGTTTTAAAAGAAGACAAACAAGCTACATCAGGTTTATAAGATATTCCTTTAGCAGTGCCAGTATTCAGGAAAAATAGGTTCATTAATGTTATTAATGCAGACTTAAACAGCATCTGATACCATGATACAGTGAAATATTAGGAACATACAGTTTCTCAACACTGTTAAGATCTCCCTCTCCACTGCTTTCTATTGCTTTCTCTCTCTCTCTCCCTCCCTCCATTTCTCTCTTTTATCCTGTTTCATGACACTGATACCAGATGACAGCTGACAGAATCTGTAAATTAGATGAAATGTAATTTATCCTGAACTCCTGAAATGGAATGCGAAGGGAAAGTATTCTCCTGTTATGACCAAACTCAAGATCTCACATAGGCTTGGACAGTGAGGACAAGAACATTACTTTACACACCCCTGACTGTGGCTGTAGGGTTTGTGGTTATCACTCGTGTTAAAGTGAGAAAGGTCATTGCCTGATGTTTTGGAGGCTGTACTTTGCACTTATGGGAGGAGCGTGCGTGATCAAGGCTCAAACACTGATGTAAGAATAAATGTGCTAAACTCTCGCAAGAGCCAGATGCCATCTGAACCCGCAGGTCACCTAGCAACCAGCATCTGTGTTCACAACAACATTACACAGACAACAGCCGCTGGGAGTAACGGCCCTGCTTACAGTACATGCACACACACACATGCACACACAAACATGCACACACACACATGCACTGAATATCTGAATGAAATTTTGCTGCATAAAAAGTGTCAAATGTAACTATTTAACTCTTTTTTTAGCCAGAAGTACATAGCCAGGCCTGTGGGTGTTATTAAACGTCTGTGTTCTCTTGCTAACAAAACCTCATATACGTCTACAGGTATATAGGAAGGCCGAGTGATTCAAAGCACTGTGCAAAGTCAAAGACCATCTTTCATGTATTTAATTTCCTGTAAAAAAGAGAAAAATTATATTCATTTTTCACGGGGATTTTTCTAAGGAGATATAAGATAATCCACTTGCATAAAGAAGGGGAAAGTCAAAGGAAAATATGTAAAAAATAGGAATTTCCAAAAAAGAAGTTAAAAAATTATTATGATGGGACTCCTTACAACCATAGACAAGCTGGTAGACCACCAAAACTGTAACCTTCAGATAAACAGCATTTAAAGCTTTCATCTTCATTTCAGATCTAAAAAATCCACAGGTGTTTCTGTCCATCCTTCCACTGTGAGAAGACAACTCAACACAATGGATCTGAAAGGATGTGTAGCAGTCAAGAAGCTGTTGCTGAGAAAAGGAAACAGACAAAAAAGAAGAAAATCTACACAACAAACAAAGAAGCTGCTGGTGTTCTCAGAACTGTGGCCTGACCGCCCCAGAGTCCAGACCTTAACATCAATGAATGTGTTTGGATCGCAATAAGATGAAAATACAACCTGTACAACCTAAAAGGTGTAATAAAGGCAAAGGGTAGACACACTAAATATTGAAAAATCTGTTATTTTCTGTTTAATATATGGTTTTTGCTTGTTTCCAATACTAAACTTTATGGCTGTTTTGACTAGAAATTAAATAAATAAAGGGTGGTCTCCAAGCTTTGCACAGCACTGTATAGGCAGAGCTGTTATACTGGATGATACTGACACTTCCACTGAAATAGCACAGATAATGGGGCCAATACAAAGCAACGCTTTTTTGCAGCATCACTGGAATTTAAGCTTGTGATTTCCTGTCAACAGGGCTAAACCTCAGATGGCTGTGCCACTGGGTAAGAAAATATAACTATATAGAACAAAACAAAACTGACAATAACTGCTCCCTGTTTAAAAATATCACAGCAATACATTCTGAACTGTGAAGCCGAACTAACATCCATCATGGTTGATATAAGAAAAACATGTAAACGTTTATCAGAAGAATAACATGTTATAACCTTTTTCAATGAACAGAACTACTGAAAATGAACAGAAATTAAAACTGCAAAGAACTCTGGGTAGCTACACATTCAGTGCTACAATATTTATATTATTTAAGACTGTGAGTTCCTGCTGTCTATTTAACTGGCACAGTTGAGAACTAGAACTCCCAATCATATCTAAAAGTACTGGAGTATAAAATTTAAATCCAAAACATAAATACAAATACAAAATTACAGCATCTGATATGATTGGTTCTCAGAATTTTTATTCCCACAAAAATTGTCTTGGTTGCAAATTTCAAATCAGTTGGGCTCTCGCACAAAGACATTTCTGTATGGCTACATTCACATTACCAGGGTGAAGTGGCACAACTCCCTTTTTTTGTCTTAACGTGACACAGACCTGACACACAAATGTGATCTTTTTAAAATCAGATCTGAACCATTTTCATATGTGGTCCAAGATCAGATGCATATCCAATTTGTGGCCTTGTGACCTTAAAGATAACGCTCAGATCCAAATGTATATGTTCCTTTTTTTTTTTACTGCGCATACTCCATCATTCAGTGTTTACGTGGCAGCAGTGCCGAACCTGAAGTTAGTGCCAATAAACGGTGGAAAAGCGACACATCTGATTCTTTTTCACTTTCATCTCGCTCTAATAATGTACAGCTGAGAGCTGCTCGGAGCTAATTATCCTCACAACAAAGGCTTGCTCTGCTAGTTTTTTGCTGTTCATCACACACATGTGGGTCGTTTCAGGATGAGGTTCATTCACGTTAATGACAGATTTGAGTCACTTACCTAAACAAATGTTAATCATCATTTTTAGAAGATCAGATCTGAGCAAAACTGGATTTGAGCAATGAGGCTTGTAATGTGAATGCAGCCAAAGTTTTATCCTTTGGAATTTCGCCACTGAAACATGCTGCTTTTCTGCTCTTAACCATCAATCTGGCAACAATAGGTATAATGACAGCTGACTTAAAGTGTTCACTGTCCTGTATTCTGTGAAAAACTAAAAGGCACCCTGTCATTGTCCTCTATTTCTTTGAGCATAGTTGTTCGAACAGGTGTGTGTGTGTTTGTGTGTGTCTAAAGAAGCTCTGGCAGTTGCACAGCACTTTGCAAAGCACATTTGTTCACTCAGTTAATCCTATGACTCCTTCATTGTAAAGGTCAGCGGCAGAGCCTTCAAAACGCTTCAGTAAACTGCTTTGGACATGAATGCGGATGAATGAATGTCAGATCACTGACACCCTATATGAGTTATTTCAGTGAGTTTGGCAGTGTGAGAATGCGTGATTGGACTCGTTACCTTTACAGACGAAGCACTTTATGTGGAAGTGTTTGTTCTGCACTCGCAGCACCTCCCCCTTGCAGGCCTTGCCACAGTTCTGACACAGAATGGGCCCGCTCTGGGGCGGCCCCTTAGACTGCTCCAGGGGACCGTGCACCGCCTGCTGCTGAAATGCTGTAGGAGAGAGAGAGAGAGAGAGAAAGAGACAGAGAAGAAGAGAGAGAGAGAGAGAGAGAAAGAGAGAGATATGAAGAGGGCACAGTGAAAGAAAGCAATGGAGAGAGAGAGAAAGAGAGAGATGGATAGGGGGCGACGAAAGAAAGCAATGGACAGGGAAAGAAAAAGATAGAGGGACAGACAGAGATGGAGAGGGGTGATGAAAGAAAGCAATGGAGAAAGAGAGAGAGAGAAAGACAGAGAGTGATGGAGAGGGCACAGTGAAAGCAAGCAATGGAGAGAAACAGAGAGAGAGAGAGAGAAAGTGAGAGAGAAAGAGAGAGGGGAAAGAGAGAGAGGGAGATGAAGAGGATGCAGCGAAAGAAAGCAATGGAGAGACAGAGAGAGAGACACACACACACAGAAGACAGAGATGGAGAGGGGCAGTGAAAGAAAGAGATGGAGAGAGAGAGAGAGAGAGAAGGAGAGTGAAAGAGAGAGAGAGTGAGAGTGAAAGAGAGATAGAGAGAGAGAAAGATGGACAGGCAGAGACATGGATGAAAAGAAAGAGAAAGTATGGGTTAATCAGTGTCAAATAAACGAACGTGTTCACGCTCATCCCACTCACAGCAGGCACACACACTCAGGGATCAAACAGTGAGAGGTCACACATCAATCAAGGACATATTAACACATTCTGCACATCCACACTTCCTCCTTAATGTATCTACAGGTGACCAAAACACAGGTTCAAAACATGATCAAACTGTTTTCAGTGCAGGAAAGCAGACAGATGCACAGTAAGAGGATATCTAGAACATGAGGTCATACAGGAAAACATGGTTTGGATTCTTACCGCAGCACCTGAGAATGCTAGTTTCAGCTTGCCTTCAACAACAGAGAGGCTGTTCTGGTATACTTTATCTTCTTTCATTTGAACATCAACCACAAAATGCAAAGAAGAAAAATCGCCAAGACACAAATAATTGAGGTCATAATCTGATTCCACTTTAAAACAAACAATATAGCAAATAAACAGAACGTCCACTTTTGCTCTAGTGCAGCAGATAAGAAGAACAGGGAGCTCTGCTAGATTATGAATCATTCCTCTATATTTAAATCAACCAAGCCGTCTAAACAGAATGAGCATCTGAAAATACACTGTTTGACAAGGATTAAGATTCAAGGAAAAAGAAAAATGCAGAAAAACCTCAACAAAAAACAAATATGCTTCTAGGCCACTTTTGGAAGAGACCCTTCTTTAATGTTTAATGGAACGGACATGCTGAAGATGAGATAGATGAGGTATTGTGTTTTTATTCCTCTTTGTAGATTTTGGGTTATAACAACATACATATTTTTGCATATAATATGACTGGTGCCAGAATTTTTATTCCCACAAAATTTAACTTGGTTGCAAATTTTTGTATCATAAAAGGTTTGATATGAGTTCTTATATTTTTGTGTCAAAATGTCTTTATTCTACAGAATTCTGGTTTGCTACACAGACTGGTCTGGCTGAGATGAATACAAATTTTATTTCAAAACAAAAGACTACAAAGTAGCACGCTCTTGTGAAAAAGGTGATCTTACAAAACAGTATAAAGCTGTAAAACTATATAAAAAAAGGAAGAATGTACTCAGATGTCTAGTTTTTAAGGATGCACGGATTTGCTTCAAAAAAATTACCGTATCAAACAGATATTTGGATTTGGCCAATATTTTAAACCAATATATCACTGCTGTCTGAACAAAACATCATAACCTCATCTCCAAAATGGTAACTTTACACGAGAAGGAGAAAACATACTATACTTTTCATGTAAGTCAATGGAACCAGACTTTTTTCCAACTAATTTTGGGCTATTTCGGTAGGTCCATTTATCATGAAATTTTGAAACAATGTAAAGAGCAACAGGTGTTTTCAAATTATGTCAAAAACTGAAAAACGACAAAAATGGAGATAAGAGGTTTTGTTCCGACAGCAGCGATATGATGATGTATTATTGTAGTCCAGAAGAGCATAATGTTTAGGAGATGCTGGGCTACTGTCCTAAAATGTATGTATTTTATTCTTTTTAGTGTATTTGTAACCCTCTACAAAAAAGATTACATTTCTCTATAATGCTAATCCAGGTGGACATAGTCTAATTTTAAAAATCTTTATGTATCAGCATCAGTGTCAGCAGATATATATATTTCATGAAAAAAACTGGATACTGTCATTGGCCAACAATTCCCATATCAGTGCATCCCTACTAGGTTTGATCACTGACAGTGCTTACCACAAAAGACAGTAAATGGGAGACCCTCAGAAGAGAGGGGAGGATGTATTACTGACAGTTTTAAATTTCAATATACTCTTCTGAATGTTCATTTTTACAATACTGTATTAAAGTTATTATACCATTTATAGTTTTTTTTAGAAAGCAGCTCATGAAAGTCTGTCTTCACATGTAACACACCGTGAGGAGCTCAGAACTCCTGGAAGAACACAGGGCTGTTTCTGCCTCTCAGCTAGAGGCACTTGTTTTCAAAGGGCGTGGAGCAAAACTGGTTTCTGTCGGACATCCCATCACTGGGACTCTGTAGTGGACTTTTGTGAGGGCTGTTCCCTGAGCTAATTGTTCTCTGAGGCTTACAGCTCACTCTGGTGCTCATTCATCAAGCGCCTTCTGCTAGAAGCTGGTTTGACAACTGCAGTGTTCAGAAACACGGCTGCTGGGCCTTTAATTAGATAAAAGAGCTTTGAGAGGGTTCTACACAGATCTTACGTAAGACCACGAGGAAGGACAAACATGAAACATCTTTGAAGAATGTGGTGAAGGAGGACAGATCATTTGGAGCAATCAGACGTTCTAATGTGCTCATCAACCTGGGATGCTAGGAATTCACTGTAAATTTACGTATGAAAAAGTGTACTTTTAATTTCATGAGACCTATAAATAAGTTAATTTATTCACCATGTTTTGCACTGTTTATGCACAGAAAATCTCAAATATGCATTTTTAAAATGCATGTTTTACAGACTTTAACTTTAAAATGTTTACACCTTTTTAACCCTCAGTTAATTACAGTGTGTATTACATCTCACCATCAACTTTTCAGTAATTTGCTGTGTTATTACAGAAAATAACCTAAGATGAGTTGATTTTATAATAAAATCATGAATACAGTGTTAAATATTGTACATTCTTGGCCATAGTGTATACAGACTGTTTTAGCTCAGATACATTTATAAATACATTTATTTCAAAAATTAAAGAATACAAAATAGCATGTCCTTGTGCAAAAACGTGATCTAAAAACAATAAATAAACAATAAAAAAAATCTGATCTGCCTTATAAAAAACTCAGTTGAATCTTACATTAAGTTATTGTCTAGATTTTTTTATGTTTTGTGGTTCATATTAAGTGAAAGTTTCTTTATTATACTGAATCAAAATCATATCTTCAGTTTCTATCCAAAGCGACAATATTTAGCACAGGCACAGAAGAGACATGGCCGGGAAGCATTCTGAACCAATGGAAAGCTGGCAACTCACACTTATATCATTAAGAGAGAATGCTTGGTGGTTGACCAGAGGACGGCCCTCCCGTGCTAAACCAGGGTCACATGAACAATATGGTGAACAATTACCAGTCAATCGCACAAATCTGCTCTAACATCACACATACTAGTAATGTATGAAGTCACTGCCAACCCTGGCTAAACTACAGATAGATTGTGGTAGCACCATAATAGGTGCTACCACAAGGGCTTACATTCACTGCAATAAATTTACCCCTGACACCAGTATACTGTGCAACAACAGCATTGACCTTGTCAACATACCTTATTGGTCCCTAAGAGAATCCTTTTCCCCAGCTGCATCTCAAGCAAAGCATGTTGGGAATGTTTACAGTCTCCCTTTTGAACTAAAATGATTTCCTGTTCTGAGAGATCAAGTGCACTTGTTAAACAGCAGTGGCCACGCAGCCTAAACCCAACACAAACACATCTCATCCAGGCCTAAGAGGGTGAGCAGAAATCAAGCAGGAGATGAACCTGCTCCAGCTGCCAGGCTCAGGAGGATGCATGACTTTTCCATTCCATTTGCATTGAATTATACAACATTTGGCTAACTCGCTATTAAAACAACTCTGACCACAAATCTGTTTCATGTCTGAGCAGATACTTCAAGATTAAGACTTAAAGATCTAGAATACCGACAAGGGGGTTTTCTTCAGGAGTAAAGTAAATGTAATGGAAACATGCTCACTGGAGTCCCCACTGTTTGATAGTGCCCACAGGAGCCCACTACCGATGTTCAGCAGGAAAGTATGTTTCCAATAAAGACAAGAATGTTGGAAGGGTCAGGCAACCATTTAACAAAGTGCTTTAGAGACATAGGTTTGAGCAGCATTATGTAGATGTGAAGCTGTATTGCTTGTCCAGTTTTGTTTTGTTTAACACTGAAAAACAGTAATGAATTGAATGTATTTTATTCAAATGTGTACATAATGTCGGCATGAATAAAAGTTTAGGGACACAGTGATATGGGAATAGTGGGCCAATATGTAGAAACTGGGACTAAATCTACCTGCATTAGCAATACAGAGAAAACACATATTTATGACATGAATGGCATGAAAACTGACATTTTAGCACTGTAACCTAGCACCACCTAAACATTTTACTCTTCTGGAGCACAATAAATACATCATCAAATATCTGTCAAATATCGGTTAAACCTAAACATCTTTCCGATGCTGATATTGTCTGAAAGCAAATATCTACCAATACAAATATTATTACAATATTTTCACGCATCCCTATAAAAAATATCACATCAACAAACTCGAAAGAAAGTAAATAAAAAGGACAACAACTGCATTGATGTCATATATTTTACTGATGTGGAAATGAAGTACAATCAAGTGAATTTAATGTATCACTTTATAAGTGTATGTTTCACAAATATTGCTAATAACATTGTGCATAGTGCCTTATGAAAGCATTTAAACCCCTTGAAAGTTAGCTTTCAAACAAATTTAGCTTACAAATCACTGTTCTCTCTCTCTCTCTCTCTCTCTATATATATATATATATATATATATATATATATATATATATCATTGTCCTAACAAAACCATGTATCTTCAAAATGGTAACATTACATAAAAAAGAAAAAAGTTCTTTTATTGGAACTTTTATTGGAAGTTGATGTAAAAAGATTTCATTCCAAGAACCATACTGGTCCAATCATTAAGAAATGCTCTCACAATGTAAAGGATTAATCAAATGATGTAGAAAAAGGTGAATCTTGCATGTGAGTGATGCTTTTGGTTTTATAAATTTGTATTTTTATTATAAACTCATATGCTATTACACATATACACATATAAAGAAAATTTAAATAAAACAGAAATATGCTGCTTGCATGCGGGGGTGTCATGCCCATTCAAGCATGTGATCCCTTCAGATCTTTTATATCTTTATTTTTTATAGTTTTAATTTATTTTGTTTTATTACTATTATGTTTTATAATATGTAGTTGTGGTCATTTTATATCATGAACCAATCTAATACAAATTATGTCATAGATTATACCTCAAAAAGTAACACAACCCCTTTTGCTACGGTATTGGTCTCTTCCAAATGTTGCTGGATGAAATCAGTTCAGAGCAGCAGGTACAGACACACACAGCACTCTGTGTGCACCAGTGCTAAGTGGTTAATGAATGACATGTTGCTAGTGTTTAGTAGAGCATCAGTCCCATTTTAAAATGTGTGAAAACGCATTAAAGCCATTTGAGAAATATAGGCATAGTTTGCTTTGCAAGATAGTTGGTTATGGTTAGTACCAGCTAAAGTTAGTAGCCATCCCTCAATCCGGTTGTTTATCCTTCTGGCTCGTAGCTAGTTGTGACTTGTGATAACATAGCATCCTATTTAATACTGGTAAAGGAGAGCTGTGTGAGTATTACGGCTGTGAGCAGTCTCATTTGTGCTTATGTTGCTTCCTATGCATTGTGTTTGAAAATACAGCTGTTACCATGTTGACAGGTTCCTTTTATCTGTGGCTTTATTATATATGTTCTCTAAATTGTTGTGGATATAGTTTTTGTGATGCAAATATATGCCTCTTAATTTATTCCCCTTTTTGGGTGCAGCAGATGAGAGCTTTTTTCAAGGTGTAGAAGTAAGTGATTGAGTGAGTGTCATGTTCAACCATATATAAATAAATATACAGTATTTACCCTAATGTAATATGTCAAATTGCAGAAACCTGTGTCGCTAATTTCTCTTTTTTTCTGGGGAAGGCCCCCCTTGCCCCCCACTGTAATTGTGCCCCACCAGAATTTTGGCTTGCATGACACCCCTGCTTGCTTAAACATTCAACTTCCAAACATTAGTCCTATAGCTTACTGCATTCTTGGGCTTATTACTCTGTAAGAAATCAATCCAAACTGAGAGTGGAAACCTGAACCTATCAGCAGGTTCTGGCCATTTAATGGGTTAATATTTGGTAGGATATGTATTCTGTGCATCTAAACACCCCTCTAGTGGAATCCTTGGATCAATTCTCATTTCTGACCACAACCATGATAAAGTGGACACTAAATGGTACTTAAGTTACAAGCATTACTGGTAACTGGACAATCAATCAATATCACAAGGTTCATGTGTCACATAACTAAAATGAATCATTGTAGTCCTCTTAAATTTGGAAGAACCAATCCATATACTCTATGCATCTAAATACTCATCTCCTCCAGCTATGAGTTTATGGTTGGGCCAATAAAGACCTTCAAGCTGCAATGCAGTGCAAAGACGGCTGCCAGTGTGTCACACGCAGGCTTCTTCGTTACACTGAGCTGTTTGGCACAGATGTTCACACCATCCATCAACTCCTGCTCACTGTCAAAGCCCCTGTGGCTTCACGTACCAAAGGTCAGCACATGGGAGCAATCGGACATAGGCAACGTTTCACAATGGCACCAACATAGACCATATACACACAGTTATACCTCCACATACATGCTCACACACTCGGGCCTTGTCTTTACTGAGCCCAGTTTGGTGTGTGGTGACAGAGTTGTCCATCTTTAAACAGGTTTTCTATAAATAGGAGGTTGCCTGAACTCGGGGGGATTCCATCATGCTCTGCAACATTCCGGTGGGCATCTATATGCATGACCCTCCCTTCACTGCACTCAGGTTACCACTGCAGAGTCCTTCTGACACTAACCCCACCAAGATACCTTCTAAAGCAAGGTTAATAACACAAGGACAAGAACTGGAGGGCATGATTCATGAAACTACTTCTCATTAAAATAAGTATGAAATTAATAATCAAATAATGAATAAGCATACTGTAAAGCACATTATGCAGAAAAGAATAAGCATATTTTGTGGGATAAAAAATGACCGGTGGAGACTGTAGCAGATACAGCACCATAGAATCCACTGACAGGAGTTTATCCCCACTTTGCTGCAGTAACAGCCTCTACTATTTTGGGAAGGCCTATATGTGGGAATATTGCTGTGAAGATTTGATTGCATTCAGCCACAAGAGCATTAACGATGTAATAGTAATACATTCCTTTACTGGGTTTGACTATTCGAATACAAACCAAATTATTTGTTACAATACTCTCAGACAAATCTGTACTTTCAGGGTGCAAACACTGTCACTGGGCTTCTACCTTCACCCACTCAGCAAAGGGGTCCATAGCACAGCTGACATTTTCCGCCAGAGAGGTCTCCAAAACCCCAAATCTTACAAAGTGTAGATTTAAGTCACTACGAACGTAGTGTACCTTTAAAACTTACATACACAATAGGACCTTAAGGAACATGTTGTACCTTTAAGGGTACATTTGCATTGTACCTTGGAGGACTAAACTTTACCTGTACAGTGCCATTTTACTGACAGTGTATGGCTAAACAGGATTATAAAAATACTGTACAGTTTAAGTGTGAAAAGGAAGCCACTGAATATCTTCCACACAAGAATGGAGTCTGAACCTTGCATATGCCTGGAATCGTCTACTGTGCATTACACCTCCACAGCATTCTTTTCCATTCAGGGGTTCACCTTCACAGATTCGTTTCAGTAGCGCCTGGCATTTGACCTCAAAGTAACCCTGTGAGGCCTCAGGCCAAGCGGAACCTGATGATTCTTTCTGATCTCACCAGTGGGATTCTCATAAGGGCCCGGACCAGACATTTAGTCCTCATAATGATACAAATTGGCTAAAAAAAGTGATTGGAAACCAAAGACAGCTATGAGCACAGTAGATATAGAGTGAACACTATATCAGAGCCAAGGACTGAGAACACATAAAGGCCTAAAGATTAAAACAGCATCTTTCAGAACAATTCACAGTGGCAGCATTTAATATATGAGATTTAATATGATTCACGACTGAAAATGTTTCGCCTTACAGCGCATAACTGCATTACATAACTATAATGGAATTCATAAAAACACCTAATTATAATGACAAGAACTCAATAAGACTACACATTTCAATACAATGTGGAAAGACTGGAATGATTCTTCTAACTTTACAACAGTAAGTTCTGCATCGCAGTCTGAGGCCTTAGAGAGGCCATGCTGCAACACAGGAACGCTCCGTTGCACACCTCACAAAGGAACCTAGTGCACAATAAGAGATCACACCCAGTACTTTGGGCAGTCCGCGTGCTGTAGCAGCTGTTTATCCTCCTAAAATACCACTGCTGCTAAAAGCTGTTGCATAAGCAGAGGTTCTCCGAAAGATCTCATCATCTGATAAGATGCTGTCATTGTTTGCAAACTGCTGATTAAAAATACAGCTTGGCACTCAGCTAATGGAGTTCAGTACGACTGTTGGTAAAGACACAGCCCTGTTTAACCATTAACGTTTATGCCCAGGCCATGAAAGCAACAAAGCAAAAGACTTTTATATATTTAAAAGAAATGACAGTAACTTTTTATTAACTTTGCAGCTATGGGTTTGTAGATCAACTTAAACGATGATACGCTGACAGAGCAATGAAATTTGAGGTTTTCTAGGATAAATTAAAGCAAGCCATGCCCGTTTTGAACATTACACTTAAATGCTGGCTAAAAATGGGCCAGAACAAGAGTCTCTGGTAGTAGAATAATGGGTTGGAAGTTCTCAAGACCACATTAAAGTGCCAAGGACCACCACAATGTTTGCACTTGTTTATGCAGAATGGGTTCCTGTTTCTCATTAGAAGTGTGAGGTGTGATTTTGAGAATAGATTCCACATCATACATGGCTTCTGAGGCAAATGTGTGATGATTTAGGAATGTGAAAACAATATTCAAATAAAGGTAGGTAGGTTTCAGACTTTTTCAGATTTTTTTGTACTTTAGAACATTACACTATATTTTATTAATATAACATTTTGTTGCTTCAAAATTACATTTTTTAAAGGGAAATAAGAATTTAATAAGTTATACGTAGTATGAAAATACGTCTCATTGGGTAGGGGGTGGAGTTAGGGAAACCTTCTGGTGGGCCAACTAACACTTCTTCATGGGCCAACATTGGCCATCGGGCCACATTTTGGGCAGCCCCATCCTAAGGCTTATAACTGACTATCTACATGGAAAGCAATGCAAACTGACTGAGTTTTTGTTAAATTATTAATCCATAAAATACAAGCCTAGGTTTCTAAACCTTTCTTTAGTTCTGATTCAGGGATGAAAGAATGACCTATCAATTGTGCAAATTATAAAATTCATGTCTAAAGATCGTAAAACAATGGAACCGTTGCAGGGCCAGATTGGTGCACGTCAATCATATGTATCAAAATAAAATGCTGATATATACAAAACAAACTTTTAATCTACTCAACAGCCATCACCATGATTGTTAAGTGTTTTGTCATTACTTTGTTATTAAGTCCGTTAGATGTGGTGGCGTTGTACTGTCAGGCTGCGGTGTGTCCAGGTCTTCTGTTTCATGTGAAGAGGAGCACTGGGCAGTCAGGTTTGTTTACTGCTGCTGCTGTCAGTATGAGGGGCGTCTTTCCGACTGCTGGAAGAGATCCAAATGTTACATCATCGCTAGTCTCTTTTCCAGCAGCCTTGAATCGAGCAGAGTGGAATCTGATTGGTTCAAAACGCTGCCACTGTCATACAGTCATATCCAAAATAGAGTGACTGACACCAATAAAATTCCACCTACATTTTTAGCACTGCTCAGTTATGTTCGTTCACTAAAGAGCAAATACCTTTCTCTTACTGACTGAGCTGTAAGCAAAAGTGTTTAACCTCTTAAACAGCAGGCGTATTATTCAGTTATTACAGAACCTTAAAGTTTAAGAGGTTACATCTCCAAGCTCCTAATTGCTATATTGTAGGGAAAAAGGGGTCTATCATTTCCGAATGTGTTTCAGAAATGATAGACAGGTCCAATGAGTTATTGGACCTGTATTTGAAATAAATCTTGCTCTCCCCCAAAAAACAGTGCTGTACTGAACTCAGGTGACACCAGCTTTTGCCTGGAAATCAAAGTTCCAACATGGCAGGCAGGGAAGGTAGAACAATCAGTTCTGCCCAAAATGTAACAAATACTGTAGATCACAATGTGTCAAGCTGTAGTCCAGGCTTATCAGAGCCAAATGCACACACCAAAGTCTCATGACTATTACACCACTGAGAGCGTTAAGACACCCCGACGACCCTCCCTGCAATTGATTAAGACAGATTGGCTATCGTAAACCTGCTAAATGTCTAACCACATTCTGAAATTCTGTGATGTCCCCCAGCTGAAATGCTGAATCACTTTATTAAATCATGGTCATAAGGTCATCACTGTAGTGCCTCAGAATGGCAAAATCATGGTTTTGTTGTTTTTAACCATCTGTAAACAATCAACAGTATTTTTTACACAACTCTCTCTCACTCCCTGGCTCTCTCTATATTAGACACACACACACACAGTGGGCCCAGGCTGTTGCCCAGAGGGTCCAGATTGCATCAGAGCTCCTGGAGAGCAGCAGCGATCCATCCTGCCTGTATCTGTTTATTCACTAGGTGGGGTGCTGATATTGTTGTTTTTGTGGACACCTCTCAAATCACTAAAACATTCATGAAACAGCTCAGTGTGTACATGCAAAACAATTTAAAACCCCTTAGCTGAGGTATAGATAAAATGCAAAATAAAAAAGTGAAAAGAAATGAAGCGGTTACATTCTAAAATGTATTATAGACCACCATACCAAAAAAAGGGTTTTCTTTTTTGTTTGTGATATACGTTACTGGGAGTGCACTTTACACATACAAAAAATGCCAATTCTATATTATGATTAATACCACCTTTATTTGAGAAATAAAAGAATGTGTTTTCCATTGTACATCAGTTGTACGTCACTCGTCATAACCAAAATTGTCACCTACAGATACAAAGCATTTGGAATAAAACATAAATATAAAATACTGAATAAAAATATGAACACTAATGACTTACTGTATGTCTTTTATGTAGTACGACCATGTATGCGTTTGATTATAGTATAATAACAATTATATGGTTCCAATTATTATGTCATAGGGTCATATTTACTGGTCACGGTCGTTTCTGTAGCAGTCATATCAGACAAAAACCCTCCATTTCTATGATGTCCCATAATTCCACACATTTCATTACTGTGACTCATGCATTCCCCATTGCTCCACTGACTTAATTAATAATTCAGTCATGGCTTCCTTAAACTCTATTTATACCACATGCCATCACTGATGAAACAGAATCCATTCTGAAGTCTACTTTCAATGTCATTTGCCTCTCTGAGCTCAATAAAGTGCAAAACAGTGGCTGAATCAGATCAGCAGTAAGTGTAAGACTGGAAGAGCATGCAGCCTGCACAACAGCAATATAAGATGACAGTTTAGAGTTGCAATACAACTACAAATCATCACACTGTAACTGTACCTTTTTCCTCAGGCATGGTCTTTCTTCTTCCACGTCAGGTCTCAGTTATATATCCAGTAGGAAATGTGGGTCTACTGCTCGAATATCCAGGTTGTAAGTCACTGTGGTGGAGAAGTATGCTGCATCTTCCTCAGACTGGACTCTCAGTGTGAGTCTCTGAGGTGACTCTGTCCTCGCACTGAGCTGCAGCAGCGTGATGTACAACCTTTTTTTCTCCACCCGTATTCCGACAACTCACGCCTCCTGCGCTAGTATCGGGCTTCGTGCGCTGGGATTGGATGGTGGCAGCACGCCTCCTGCGATGGGATTGGTTAGAATGTTATGGCTCGTGTGCTGAGATTGGCTAGTAGCCTCGAGCTTGCTGCGTTACGTTGACTAGCATTTTCCCACAGTGTGAACCAGCCAGTTCCAGCGTGAGTTGTCGGAAAACAGGCGGAGAAACACGAGAGTTTCACGAATGAACGAACGGACGGCGAGTTATTGCCGAGAGCCCACAACCTACACTCCACTTACAGCAGCGGCGTCATATACGCAGAATATTCTCGACCGCGTCTATCCCCGTGAGGTCTGTGCATGCGTGGCAATACACGCATTCGCGCCGCGCCTCTCAAAACACAACAGGGTGGAGAAATAATTGATGTGCCTGAGTGGAGATGTGGAGCGGAGGACTAATAGGACTGCTTGTACTCTCAGTACACTATAAATGACTCTTAAACCTACATCCTAGCCTTCTTAGTCAAAGGGTAACTCCACCAATTTTTCAAAAATTCTACATAATAAAAAGGCTGAGATGTGAAACAGTCATTCAAAGTGGTTTGATGAAATGTGAAATGCTCCTTTCTAGAGAAACTTTCAGTCGGAATTGTTCACTGTGGTGGTGATAGGAACCAGACGTCCAACTCTAAAAGCTCCCTAACAGAAATGTATTACATTAAGTGGTTGTGAATCTGCTGCCTGATGACTGAGATATTGTTTAACAACCGTTTTGTGATAAAGTTTGGCTTAAAATGAATTTTAATACATTAATTTTAATCCATTCATGATGGAGGGACACATGCAGTGGGTTGTAAGGCAAAACAGTTCCCAAAGAAAACTTTTTTTTTCAGATTTATGCCTATTGTACCATCATCAACGTTACATATAAAAACTCAGAAGACACGTCTAGGTGTAGGTTTTGGATAGTAAATAAAATGGCTATATTTTTGTTGTAGACACTGCGACCCCTAGTTCCAATTGCCACCACTGTAAAAAAAAAAAATCTGAATCAGTAAGACTTTTCTACAAATGAACTATGTCTCTGCTTACATCTCAAGGTCTGAATATTTCAGCCATTTTGAAAAAATGGTGAAATTCCCCTTTAAAGCAGAGCTTGTATTTGCATGTAAGACATTACTCTTCATAGAGACATCGTGAAGTGCATTAGAGGAAGCTACATGGTTTATGGTATTTCTCTGAAGATGAAAAGCACTCTTCACTAGTGATACCCTGAATAATTGATGAGCCTGCAGAGATATGTAGAGTGGAGGACTAATTGGACTCTATATAAAGTTTCATGTGGTGTTTTCTCCCTATATGTGCCATTATGTAAGTGAAAAAAAAAGCACTACAACTGATTTTCACTCCACTCTGAAATCTCATAAATCATATTATTAATTCTGTGACAATCAAGGGACAAAGTATAGGCCTTTAACTGAAGGGGCACTCCAGCCTAAAACTAGCATATTTTAGGTTATGTGTTAGGTAATGTAGTATTCTGTAGAGCAACACTGCACACCTCAGCCTCATTGGTTTGAAAGAATTCATGACTTCTGTATCGTTTTCATGTTTTTGTCCATCAGTGTTCTTTCACCATAAAACCCAGCATGCATTACACAGATACATCAATTATTTGGAATCCTTACAGTTCTTAACAAATCCTTACTGGCTAATAAATACATCTGTGGTTTTTGATTGCATCAGTAATGCAGTACTAACCTCAAATGGTTTTCTTTGTTAAGCAATAATACACCCAGTTAGCACCAAAAAAAACAAAACAAAAAAAACAAGAAAACAAAAAACTAAATTCAATCCAAGTGTGCCATAAGTGTCTGCCCCAAAGCACTTACTAATTTACACCCACCTTCACAATCATCATTAGAGGGGGGGTTTCCAAGTCTTTAAACCAGGAAATCTCACTTTAGAGACTTCTGTAGCACCTCTGTAAGAGGCGACAGGAGCATGTTTACGTAAAACCCAGCAATGGTTACATTTTTTTTTTATTTGGGCCGGAGTGTGCCTTTAACGTCTTTGGTGTGTACAGGATGTGAAATCACCTCTAACAAATCTCAACAGAGCTCTTAAGATCTTTATCCTATTAAACTTTTGGCATATTCCTCCCAAAATGTTTCATAATTCAGGGAACTCCTCCTCACTGAGATTTCTGCACTTTTTCATTTTTATCACCCCTAATACTCACCCCATCACCTTACCAAATTGCTTCTCCAAATTACTGTTGGACATGAGGAACAGTCTGAATTTTATCATCAGCACTCCACTCGCAAGGTCACACATGAATGGAGTCGCTCTAATGAAAGCTCTGAGATATGACTAATGCTTTGACAGTACAAGGAGGCATTTATGAGGCTGGAACCTTTTCACACATCCAGCTAGTTTAATTGCAGCATCTCAAATGGCTTTGTGAGGCTCAGCATTTTAGATTTTTCTCAGCGTTCTCTTTCTATCAGCCCCATTTTTTCCTTTTCACCTTTCAGAGATTTTTTTTTTTTGACATCATGTCTGAGTGAAAGGGAATACTGTACTTGTTTCTCTCTCTCTGTCTCTCTCTCTCCCGCTCTCTCTCTCTCTCTGTAAATGAATAATGATTAGGCATGTAAAGCAGATGCCTAACACCTGTGAAAGTGTGCTTTGCAATAATAGCCACAGCAGGTCTGTGTTTTCACTGATGAGTTGCCTCAAAAACCTCACCTACACTTTACCTGAAACTTGTAAGGGATCAGTTTGAGCTGTAAACTGAATAAAAAGGCAAATGAAAAATAATAAACTCATAAGAGGCATTTCCGCTGAAATGTCTTTGCATCAGTGTAGTTAGCCACAAATCAGTCTAGCTACCCTTAGCTACACACCTAAAAATGATTGTTCTTCAAGGGTTCTTTAGTAAAGAACATGGTTCTATGTAGAACCATTAACACTCAAAGAACCGTTTGCAAGACTAAATGTTTCTTTGCATGGTGAAATGGTTCTTCAGATTGATGGAGAATGTGCTGTACATGGTTCTATAACCTTTTTGGAAAAGAGTTCTATACAACACTAAAAAGCGTTCTTCTGTTGTTACAATGTCAAGCTTGTAACGACAGAAGAACCCTTTTATCATTAGAAGATACTGCTGCTGCTGTACAGAGTCAAACTAGCAAATTATAACCATTACTTCACCTGTTTTTCCCCGTTTCTGTATTTTAAAAGTTTATACTAATGCTGTTTGCTATCTGGTATCGACCAGAGGTGGATGGGTTCCCCTTTTGAGTCTTGGTTCCTCTCAAGGTTTCTTCCTCTTGCTCTTTTCCTTGCCACTGTCGCAATTGGCTTGATCATGGGGGCTTGGACCCAGATTTTTCTGTAAAGCTGCTTTGTGACAACTGTTGTAAAAAGCGCTACATAAATAAACTTTGACTTGACTTGACTTTGACTTTTTGGTGCTATATAGAACCTTTTTCTGTACTAAAGAAAACTTGAAGAGCCATGATTTTTAAGTGTGTAGCAAGTAGTGTACTAGAAACAGTTACAGACAAGACATAGTGTCCAAGCTTGAATCATGTGTGGTGATCTGCAGAAACTCGATGGAAGTCTTGACTTTTACTTTACAGAAAAAACACATTTCTTGACAAATTTTTGACAAATGAATTACATTTTACTTGTGGATTTTCTGTAGTTTGCAAAATACAAATCATGAGTTGATGAAAGCTTTAAGACATTGGAAGGTGAGGTAAACCACAGATTAGAATGCTAATTTATTAACATCTGCATCTGCTATTATTGTTTCACTGGAAAAAAGAAGAAAAAGTCCATCTTGTTAGCATTCAAATAAATCTGTCTGCAAGTCTAGCTAAATGTGAGAAAGAAGTGGCTTGAATTTGTTTGAATGCGTGTTCAGCACTTGGCTAGCCATATTTCAATCTAACTAACATTACTTAGCAGGCAGTGAACCAGGAACAGCTGCAGAGACAAGAGGAGAACTTCTAAAAAGAATGAAAAGATATATGTTTTGGAACCTACGTGAATGACGGCCTCCCTGTTGTTGAGATGCCATTGACACTTGCTTGACAAACGCAATGCAGCTGATGATGGTGGTCCAGCAAAACTAGGCTTATCTAGTCTTATTTCATTCAGTCATTAATCTTCTCTCAGTTTCCTTGTTCACATATTAAAGAACTACAGATTCTAACAGCACTGAAAAATGAAGTTACTGTAGCACAATGTGAACACTGTGTGGTGAAGATGATGGAAAAAATAAACGCAGAGTCAAAGAGGCATTGTTCCAAGGGAGAGTGTGAGAGAGAAATAGCCAAGTTCAGCCTTCAAGGAAAACATATTACATAATTCACTGAAGCTCTTCCTATGATTTTTAACTGATGGAGAATACACAGTAGTAGTGACTATTCATGCCCTAACTCTGTGTGTTATATGGTGTAAGTATTGACATCTGCTTGTGGCAGGTTGTATGCAGAGAGGCATAGCTTAGTTTAGACTGTTCATCAAGTTGACACAAGAGTCGATATGCCAAGCAGGACAACACGCGAAGGCAAAACAATCTCGCACACAGCAATCTCGCACATTCTGTGGAGCTCTGGGGTACACATGATGCAGTTCAGTATTTGAAGCCAAGAACAGAAACTGTTTAGGTAACTACAACATTAACCCCTTACCAAGCCAAAGTTTTATTACACAACATAGGAAAAGCTCCATTAGTTTGCACTGAAGTCCCTGTAGTTGAATAATGATTGAATTTATATAATTATATAAGTATTGAACAATAAGCCTTAGTATGTAATAAGCCTGGAATGTTAAGGGGTTAAACCATCCCAATATGGAATGATGCAGTTTGTATTGTGGGACAAGAAAGGGGTAAGAAGCAGTGTGAACTCAAAGGACTTTATTTATAGATTCACTTAAATAATTACCCTATTTCATAACCCAGGGCCTAAGCAAACATACAGCTGGGGTCGTTCC